TTTTAGTAATGCCAAAATTCCTATCCTAGAAACCCAGGAAAAGCTTTCCTGGATAAGCTTTTGTTTATCTATAATATTATCAATCCCCTGCCGAGGACAGCAGCATATCCTAGTGTAGATTCTCCTCTGTTCTGAGAGAAACGAGACACCCTGGCTGCCCTTCAGACTCACCACCCCTACCCTGGCTCTTTTTTCACACCTTGTCAAAATTCAGTCTCCCTTCCCAACAGGGAAACAGGAGCCTGAACCCTTTCACTGGCAAACACATTATATGAAATATTTACAACAACACAAAAGAAGAAAAAAAACACCCCACCTGTATTTCTCACATCCTACCCTGCACCTGACACATGATGCTCTAAACACACAGAGGACTAACAACAACAAACAGGTCAACCCAAGAGGAAATATTAAATTCTGCCTTTAGTAAGAAGTGCTGTTAAGATTAACAAAAGGATGCTTGACAACATATTTTAATGGTTTCTTAAATAATAGATTTATCATAAAATGCGATTAAATTAATTTTATAAATACAGACCCTAAAAGCTAAATAATAGCATGCTCTATATTTCCCAAAACCTGTAATAATGTATGTTTAGAATAATTATAATTAAATATTCAAGCTTTAACTGCTTGATTTAATGTAAACTTGAATAGTTTGAATTTAGTCATGGCCTGCTATGTGATGCTGCTGGAGCACTGTTGGATATTTCTGTGTGGAGAAAGACAAGATATGAGGTTAAATGATGACATGTTGCCCTGTGAACTGTGACTGGTGACCTTTACAGGCTGTATTCTGCCTTTTACCAATAAACCTCTGGAAATAGGCACTGCCTCCCTATGTCTCTAATGAACAACCAGTAGAAGATGAAGGGATTTAGTCATCTTGATTTGTTATCAGTCCATTTTGTCCAAAGCCCTGCCAGCCCTCTGATTAGAACTTTGGATCTAAATTAAACATCTTTATATGTGTGCATCAAATATGATTATACTGTTTATATAATATGTCTTACAAATTCTTCAAAAGCCAAATAGAATTAGGTTTTCAGTTAAATCTAACCATTCAAATGCAAAGCAACAGGGTGCATACACATGCATGTATAAACACCCGAAACAAAACAACAAATTATTATACAATAAAAGCTTAGAAAACAAACAAACAAAAAAACGTAATTCTGTTTTAATCTTCACCCAGTCACTACAGTGCAACTTCAAAATTAAACCAAACTGTGATTTAAAAAAACAAAAACATAACAACTCAGAAATCATCAACTGCAGGTTCTTAAAAGGATTACAATTTCACTTCCTGAGTTAAGCCTGCTATCAAAGCAGGTCCCACTGGAAGTAGTTGTTGTTCATCATCTATTAAAGGTTAAAGGTAAGTACAGATCGAGCTTCTGGTTACATGAGCACAAAACCTGCATTAAATCCTAGTAAGATGAAGATGAACCCAATATCCTCTTCAAATAATTCTGGAATTTGGTAAGAAATTTGGCCACATAATTAATGCATGTCTGGAAATTTGGATTATACAAATATAAAATGTAATATACTCAAAACGTTCTTTCAAACGTTTTGAACATGGCACTTAAGAGGAATATTTAACACATTATTTATTTAATGTATTTAAAGTATGTTTATTGAACATTAGTGGCTAATGGTAAAGTTATTATCAGGTTCCTGATTATTTTATTTTTATTTTTTTTGTTTTATGTTTTAAATATTGACTGTATTTTATCATGGCCTCATACCCAGAATCTAAAGAAACTTAGATATTTTTATTCCAGAACTGCTTTATATGGAATACAGTTTTTGAAAGACAATTTTAAATTTATAAAAAGCTGCTTGGCTTAAAGAACCTTAAATCAATAACAGCAGGATCCCTTAAAAGGCATCGGTCCCCACATTGCAGGGTCCGCCACATTGTGGGGAGTGATACCTGGACCCCACAACGGAAACTCCAGTTTCGGGGTCAGGGGTCACGTTTAGGACTAAGGTGTAAATTGAGTTTATGTTGGGGTTAAGGTTAGGTATGAACCTGTAATGTCACGGTTAGTCTGTAGAAATAAATGGAAGATAATGGAAAGGCCCGGCAAAGATAGTCAGACAAGTTTGTGTGTTTGAGTTTTTTAACAAACTAATATTTCCATAAGTTATATGTTTGAAATACTCTGCATCAGACATGAAAGGAGAGATTCTACACAAGGGGCTCATGTAGGGCATCACTAAAGGAAGAATCGCCCATAATCAACAACCACTGAACAGCTATCCCAATAATGGTGATAACCATAAATAAAATAAAAAACATAGAATAACATTGAAAGGAAAAAGAAGACAGTTTAGTTTGCAAATGAAACAAAGTAAATCAATGAAATAAAAAAAGATAGTTAACTAAATGTGTCTGCTCCTACTGTCATGTGGTAATCTCACCATTTATAAACCACTTCTGACCTTTCTCCTCTTTTAAGAGAGAGAAGTCAGGTAATAAATAGCAGTTACTCTTTAAGGCTCCTCCTTACAGTAAGGCTCTTATGAGGGCATGGATAGGAGCTAAAAGGCATCAAAAGACTAAGTTCAGCACCAAGGACAGGTTTGGAAGAAGCCAAGTGACATCCGCTTCTCTAGTGGTGCCCAAATCTAGTTCTCAAACTATCCTGAAATAGGTTGGTTTGAAAGATCTATCTAAATGCTGAAGGATAGCAGCTCTCAATCACTGTTGGATTTTGTTGTTGTCTTGGTATAGCAAAGACACCATATAGAGAAGCAGGTTGCAAGCGTGTGCCGGGGTGGTTATGTCCCTCAAAAAAGATGTGTTAAAAAGAATCTCAGAATCCTCATTGTACTATTCACTTTACTAAGTCAACACTGCATCCAACATCACAGTCTGGCCACCCTGTACTACTTCCTAACAGGTAACAATGCTTTGCCTAATGTATAAACTTTGCTCTTATCATTCCAAACAGGAACTGTATGACTTTGTGCAGGCCTGGATGTTTTGTGAGGTGCAGAAGGTTTGGGGTTCAAAAAAAGCAAAAAATGTATGTAGTACTGCTTCTTAATTAATGTTCTCCCTTTATGCAATCCCCCAGCTAAACAGCTCCATATCATGACCCTACCACCACCCTGCTTGATGGTTGTCAAGTATAATTATCCCCCCTGGACTCCTTGAAACTTTCATTTTGGTACTGGGGCCAAATTCTTTCTTGATTGTCAGCTCCAAAATAATATTGATGAATTGATAAATCTTGTAGTCTTTATTCCCTTGGAAACCACATCTCTTCACAAAACTTTCATTCGAGAAACAAACCTCAGTTGTTTAGTATGAGGACCATCACTTTTATAAAATATGTCACAACTGTGAAAAGTTAGTCATATGTTTCCTGTTTTAAAAGCATCTGGCCCTCACAGGGCACATCATTTAGCAGTGAGGGACATGCATGTTAAGTCAGGCCTTTTTTTTTTTTGGAAGATTGGGATGTTTCGGAAGATGGCGGCAGCTGCATATCTACCTGCTACTTTGGGGTTAAGTTGACTGCAAAACAGCCCACACCATGGCAATACCACCTACATGGTTTACAGTTGGTCTGGTCCTCTTAAGCAGCACAGACTTCTCCTAATTTACTTCTTGTCATTCAGGTTATTTGGCCAAACGTTTATCTTCTAAAAAAGAAAGTGGATTCAGCACCACAAAGACCCCCAAAAACAAAACATCTAAAAATGCACTGTTGCAAACAAGCTTTGCTTAATGTCTTTGGGGACGACTAGATGTTTTGGGACATGACAATAGCTCCAGGGTTTGAGGGCGATGCAACAGCCAAATGCACCAAACAGCACAACAACCCCCATGAAACATATCCTCCTTGTCATCATCGCACTGGAAAAACAATCTAGAAATAAGTAAAAATTTCTTAAATTAAGTGTATTTACCCTTAATTTAAGTAGGTAAATGATATAGTTTGCCAATTGTTTACTCAATTAAATATTATGCACTTAAAATAAGACGATGCATTTGTGTTTTCTTATTTTAAGTGTAAATTGTCTTGTTCCACTGGCAGGATGTATCCTCAATCCAACAAATACACTTATATTAAGAAAAAGATTCTTATCTAGATTTTGATTTTTTTCCAGTGCACCACCATCATCATCATGGTGTTTGGTATCCCCATCACAGGTGGAGATGCCAAACACATTAGATACTTCTGTCAGCTGGGGGGCCAGATGTGTTTCAGCCAGAGAGCGGATCTGATGAATGATTAAAAGAAGCCCATCACCTAATCCCACATAGAAAGTGGGATGTTCCTCCTTTGATGGTTTGTCAGAGTGAAAACAATGACGCTAGAGATGGCTCCTGGCTTTGCTGTGACAACCAATTACATAACGGCAGAGCTGAACAGAGTGCTCTCATTAACGTCCATTTCCATCAAGAAATCCTCAAATACGCATCTAAGCAGCGCGTCTGCACACATTAAACCATATTTTATCATTAAAGCTGGGTAGAGCTTGTTTATCTGGATGAAATGTGAAAATAAAGCCTGTAATACATCACCATCAGCTACATCAAATTCATTCTCAGCTGCGTTTTTTCCCCTGCTCCTTTAAAAGGTCATCATTTGCAGGTAAGTATTGTAAACAGACCGCAATGGGGAGTAAATTTACTGAAATCAGGACATTATGAGGAGCAAACACTGTCAATAAAGCGTGCAGCAACATTAATTAAATAATAATATAAACCATCTTCCCCCATGGCGCATGCAAACAACGGTACATCATGTAACATGACGCATGAATAATCCCAAACTGCAAAAAAAAAAAAAAAAACGCAAACAGAATCGCCTCTGAATCGGTTGCTCTCCGTCAGGTTTTGCTGCATTGGAGGCAGCGGTGAAACATTAACCAACATGATGGAGAGGGATGCAGATTTCTCCGTTTCTCCCTGAAAGGATGCTCAGCATCTCCTCCATATGATGCATGGATCAGTTCTGCGGAAAAAAAACACTTACCTGAGACTACTGCTTCCACTGCAACCCAACAGTATCTGCTGCCAATCAGAGCGTATTTCCCCCCTTTTTGCAGCACGACAGAAGGTGACCCTGCGCTTCTCTGCAAGTCTCTGCATCCACGAGATCACGATGCACGCAGCAAGGGGGAGCTCCACAGCACAGGCACGCGCCGGGGGGATGGCCCAGCTTATACTCTCAATGGATGGCAGCGGAAATATAACGCAAGGGAAATAAGCCAACCTAATATAAATGAAGGGAATTGTGCAAAACATGGTTGTTAATATTTTTGTTATTATCATGCATTTATTCTAGGATTTGTTTATTGCAATTTGTGATTAATTTCTTCTTTTATTCACATAACTCATAGTTTGAATATTGAATAATGTATAAAAATGGTGGAAAAGAGCATTAAATTGGCTTTCACTTTCCAACCAATGGAATGAGCATCTTGAGAGGTGGTGTCCCCCCCACCCCCCATGTAATCCACGCCTACATCTCACTATAGTCAAAGGAGGAGGGAAGGTGGAAGGAGAGGATTACTATCTGACTCATCCACTCCAGAACAAAAGAACATTTTTACCCACCTGTTGATTCTTTGATTTGCTCATTTACAGTTCTCTACAAGTTTATTTTGAAATACTTTCAATGCAGCCAAGAAGGATGGAGCTTCTTGGGAAGGATACAAATTTCCTTCTACTAATCTCACAGATTAAAACTGGGCTCCCTGATAAAGTTTTAGACCTAGAAGGCTCCTGGGCAGGGGCGGAGCTACATGGGGGGCCAGGGGTGGCCCTTAGCCAGTCATTGGCCACCCCTACCATTTTTTCCCCTCTAATACAGATAGTGGCAACAGTCAGAACTACATTTAGATTTATATGAGGTAAAGAGAAAATGATGTTCCCTGCAAGTCATTTAGGAGCATTCAGTGAAATCATAGATAATTTTTAAAAAATGAAAACGTATTAAATAAGATATTAGATATTAGTACTTGTAAATATAATTTTTTGGCAGAAGGATTATTGATAAAAGTAAGCAATGACGATGGAACAGATGTTCGCCTCAGAACTCAAACCTGAAAGAGTTGTATCCACTATACCTTTTATCTGGAAAGCACGGATGTTTAAATATATTTGTTTATTTGTTAGCCAAGGCTGTAGGAAAGTATAGTTTGTTTATATTTAGAAAATATGGATGTTTTGCTTATTAATTTCGCTGTTGGAACAGTGTCGATTGACCGTGAGGTTCTGGCGCTTATCCACTTTCGGCCCCCCCTTAGTGTACATTGGTTATTGCCTAGCCACCCTTATAAAAGTTTTCTGGCTACGCCTGTGCTCCTGGGAGACTTGAACAATCGAAGGGTTAAAAGCAGTATACCACTTTTTATGCAATGACAAATATGACAATAAAAGGTTAGTGTATTTCATTGGGATTTTAATGTGACTGATCAACACAAAATTTGTGTAGAACAGTGAAGTGACAGGATAACGATGTAATGTTTTTAAAATATTTCCCTCATAGAAGCTGAATGAATCATGATCATGATTCCACATTTCACTTTAAAGCAGCTACAAGGCTTTGTTTCTTTACCATGTTTATTCATTTCTAATGTCTGACTTTTGTCCCTTTTCAACATAGTTTAATCGCAGTCAGTTGGGATGGATCATCTGTCAACATCTGTCTTCAATTCTCGTCATCAGACCCTTCAACACATTAATGTGCTGTGATCTTATCTGATTTCTTTGTCACTTCTTGGTCAAGTAGCTTGTAGAAAACAATATAGATTGGGATATTTTCTCCAACATATTTAAGACCTTAGTGCTCTTCCATAGGCTACAGCTTGTGAGACTAAAGAACCAGGTTGTTAGCAGAACAGGAGCACCACCATGGACTGTTCTTTCACTATTCCTTTTGTACTTTGTATATTTTTGAATTTCTGTAGAAAACAGAATCCTTTATCTGCGCAACAGGCTTGGATGACTGTTGTTGAGAGGTGATTCAGAGATGGAAAAGAAGCTACATAAAGAGAGCTGTTGAACCGCTTTGTCTTATGGTGTTGTAACAATCATCTCTTGCTGATGATTGTTGTAGGGTCTAGGAGAAACAGAAATAGGTTGAATGTTTTTATCATTGTGGGAGAATAACTTTTTTTCTCTCCAGCTTTTATTGTCATTACATTGTTACAAGTACAGAGCAACGAAATTAACTCTATGCATTTAACCCATCCCCTTGGGGGGCAGTGGGCTGCCATTGTGCGTTGCCCGCAGAGCAGTGTGGGGTTAAGGGTCTTTTTGCAGTCTGTGGGAGTGAGGCTCAAACTCAGGATTCCAAGCTTTATGCCCTAACCACTAGGCTGCCACTCCCCATAAGGAGAATTTAGAGAAGCCAAATAACCTAACAGTCATGTTTTTGGACTGTGGGAGGAAGCCAGAGTACCTGGAGAGAACCCATGCATGTACAGGGAGAACAGGCAAACTCCATGCAGAAAGACCCCGGGCAGGGAACCGAACCTAGAACCTTCTTGCTGCAAGGTGCAGCAGGGCTGGAAAACAAACTGGGCCAGAAAAGCAACTGTGAAGGTGGCTATGAGAAGGGGCAGGGCAGGCTGTACTTCTTAATGCAGCTTCATTCAGAGGCTGTAAGACAGAAGATTCCTCCTATCTACAGCTATTAAGATCCACTTTAACCAACTGAAGAAAGCTCTATAATAAAAGGTATAGCATTTTATTTACCCTTGGGATGAATAAAGTATTATTCAATTGAATTAAATTTGTGGAGTTTGTGACAAGCATTAGTTGAAAGATTCTGTAACCTGAGCTGTTGATCTCAGCCTCCCAGATATAACGCAAGCTTTGTAGCTGCTTCACTGAACAGTTTTCTCCTTACTTGTCAGTTTAGGTGTATTACCCTGTGTTAGTAAGTCTGGACTATTTGAGTTGTTTAACACTTGGGACTTTATGACCCAACTCTACATTAACATTTCTGCCTAAGTCCTCTAAAAGTCTAGTTAGGAACCTACGGTATATGAAGATTAAACCACACACATGTAGACTTGATTTACTTAATAGGTTATTCACGTATCATTATTAATCCTTCTCCTTTTATATTTTGGTCCAGCAGAGTAAGCATAAGCTGAACTTTTTCAGATTTTGATTTGTAAATTAAAATAAAAAACAATTAAGTTTTTTGGTTTATCGGGTTTAAGGTGTATAAAAAGTTTTATGAGGTATTCTTGTGGTTTTTTTTTTCTTTTGTAAAATATTACAACAGTTTACCACACTCTCACGATTAGATGTGTTATTTCATTATTAACTTTTCTAGGGACAGCTGTTAAGATCTTAATGAGTAGGAAACAAACTATATGTTTGAACTTGTTTTTTTCAGAAATTAGGAAAATCATTTTATAAAATATCAAGAGCCAAATATACTCATTTCATTGTTGAATCAGAGGCGCAGCTTCTACTTAGACCAATCACCCTGTCAAAGCCACTAAGCATCAAACATGATAAAGAAGGGGATGTCTTGTTCTGCAGCTTGGAGGCCATTGCAGATCTTCAACTAGATCAGTCCGACGCTATTTGCTTTGTTATTTAGACGAATATATATTAAGCAAATTTTCTTCTACCTGAAGAAATCATTTATTTCAGTTTTTTGTCTGATAAACACACACTCTTTTGAATGCCTTTTCTCAACCCTTTTCTAAACTAAGGCAAAATATTTAGTATCTGTTATTTACTCAATGCTTAAAAACATCCTGCTACAACATATGATCCATGACTTTATTATCATTTGAAAACCACAACAAAGCAAAAGTATAAAAAGGTTTTTATACTTTTCCTAAAGCAGATATCAGAGGGACATCTAGTGGCAAATTACTAACAGTGCAAGAATTATATTGTACCGCCTAAAATAAGAAGTTTCACAAACCAATTTTAGCAGCTGAATCCCAATTTTTATATTTGGAGAGAGCTACAGACATTCAAATTGTTAGACTTTAAAAACAAATAGCAAATATAATTTAAATTACTTTGTAACCTTTAAAGTTAATGTTGTTGTCCCACTATCATTGTTTACCAGCTGGATTAAATAGCAAACAAGGTTAAGAAAAGTTTCTATGGGCAGAAGCTTGCATATGAGATTCAAAAATCTGATCCCAAATAGAAAACTAAAAGCAGCAAAAGTTGAACATAAACAGAAATTATATGTAAATTAGCAAACACCTGACAATAGCTTACAAGGAAATTAAATGACATGGCTAATCCTAAATGGCAGAAATGAAAAAATATGGTAAGGACAAAATAACAGACTAAACAGTAGAGAAATACTGGAAAACAAGAAGACAAATTGGTAGCCATAACCAAAGACCCAAAGTTGATAACAAATATCTAACTTTTTAATTTCTATTTGAGCAGGAAATGCATTTAACCCATAAAGGGCCATTTTATTTTCTCTGTCCTTTAAGCCCAGTTATCTAAAGAAACTTGTTTTACATGGACAAAATGTATTTGGTCAACAACTAGGATTTGCTGTTCTTGAAAACACACCATAGATTAATTAAGTGAATGAGAGAGATATCCATCAATCAGAGTATCAGGTCTTTGTTGAAAATATTCACATTTCTCATTTCTAACAAATGGGATGATGAGATCTTGTAGAAGTTGAAGAAGGCTGGAGAGAAAATAACTTAAAAAGCAGCCAAAATAGCCAGGACAAGAACCATCCAGACCATAAAGGAATGCAGAAAGTCTACATTCTTCAGAGTTAAGTTTTTTTCCTTTTTCTCAATTTGTTCCTTCGACATTATTTTCCAGATAGGAGCTCAAGCTACATTTAAGGTAAAAGAGAAAAAAAGGGAATCATGATGATAAAAATTGTCATGTTGTATTTTTTCCTGGGTAAACCACTAAAGAGATATTTTGATGGTGGTAGAAAAACACATGGATTCAGAGGTTCCTTTTCTCTGTTTCAAATAGCTGGGCTTGAAACGGTGAACAATTGAGATACAGCAGAGAGAATAACACATCGAATTTAAAAAACACTCAAAAAATATTTTTAAGAAATATGGGTATTGCAATGGGGATTTAAGTTTTCAGAAAAAAATAAAAAAGGACATAGAATTAAAATCATATAACCAAGAATTAGAGCAAGTAAAGTGCATAACATTTTTTGGACT